ACTTACATATCGGCCATTGTGAATTTCATACACAGGTATATGATAAACTTCTACACTGTGATATAAGCCTATTGAATTACTTGCGCAACAAATTTTATTGTGATTATCGTGCAAAGTAGTTACGCAATTTCTACGGGCTTCGTATTTGATTCATATTTTGATAACGATCAAAAGTATGTCTAGATTTTTAAGATGGAAAACTGAACTTATCTGCGTTAAATCTTCCACAAATCCTATATTTAGACACAATTACACTAATGTTTATCACTTTATATCTGTAATTTCGAACTGAAACATAATTATTTAATATCAAATAGAGGAATAAATGTTTGCCTAATATAGCGGGTGGTTATGTATAATCATGGCATCGTCCATGTTGTCTTTAGTCTATTAGAATATTTTGGTGTTGGCTGCAGGTATTATACAACAATTTGAGAAATGTCAAAAATGAAATACCGACAGAGTCGAATGATTTACCTAGAATTTGTACCAGATCTATATCTTCTGTTTGAACAGTTGATAAAACCTTTTTAACCAATATCCATGCGTTGTTTGTCTTAAAACATTGGTTATGGCATTTTAACAAAAATATGACAGCAGAAAGTTAGGTTATGTTGAAGTTGTATACCAACATTTTATTTTATATATATACAGGGTGGTCCATAAGTCCTTTGAAATTTCAAATTTGAATAAAATTTAACGGGTGAGCGTGAGCGGCGCGGGCGAGGTGGGGGCAGTATCTTCAGTGTCTGGGAATTTAGTCGCCATGGAGTGTTTCACTGGAGCGGATCGTGCTTTTTGTGTGCGCGCGTTTTATCAAAATAATGATTTGGTAACCATTGCGCGGCGTAAATATCGAGAATACCACAATTTACACAATTTTACAAAGTGTCCAACAGCTCAAGCGATTAAGATCTGGGTTGCTAAGTTCGAAGAGACTGGTTCGACGTTAGATAAACAGCGGTGGGGTCGACCAAGGACAACTCGTATTGAAGAAAACATCAACATTGTGGCACAGTCTGTTCGTCAAAATCCTACCCAGTCTACTCGTAAGCGTTCCAGTGCACTAAACGTACCCAGAACATCTTTACAGCGAATTTTAAGGAAAGATTTACGTCTGCACGCTTACAAAATTCAGTTAGTGCAGGAATTAAAAGATAATGACGCTATTCAGAGACTAAACTTTGCGAATGAAATGTTGAATCGATTTTCTTCGCTCAATAATGTGTTGTTCTCGGACGAGGCTCACTTCCATTTAAACGGGCATGTAAATAAACAAAATTGCCGTTATTGGAGCCCCGAAAATCCAAGGCGTAAGCATCAGAAGCCCTTACACAGCCCTAAAGTTACAGTTTGGGCTGCTATGTCAGCGCATGGCATCGTAGGCCCTTATGTTTTTGAGGACGACAGAGGTCGCGCATTAACTGTTACTTCGGAGCGGTATGTAGCAATGATAGAAGAGTTTTTGACACCAGCGTTGCAGAATTTTCCAGGCTATAATACGCAGACCTGGTTTCAACAGGACGGAGCAACTGCCCACACCTCCAACACTTCTATGCCCGTCGTCTGTCAACTTTTTCCCAGCAAAGTAATTTCTCGAAGAGGAGACATTTCCTGGCCACCACGTAGTCCAGATTTGACCCCAATGGACTTCTTTTTATGGGGCTACCTCAAGAGTAAAGTGTACGACACCACTCCGCGATCAGTTGATGTCCTGAAAGAAAATATCTGAAGAGAAATGGCAAGCATTACAGTGTTGACTTGCCGCGCAGTCATCGACAATTTTAGACGTCGTTTATATGAGTGCCGGGATCGTAATGGATTGCATTTAGACGATGTGATTTTTAAAACATAATTCCCATTCAATAAAGATGATAACAAAATATAATAATTCTTCATAATGTAACTAGTTTGGTTTTATTCCTTTTTTTCCAGCTCAAAGGACTTATGGGCCACCCTGTATTTTAAGCATATGTACAGCGTAAACGTTACCATATATACCAAAACACAACCATTTTGACTAACCTGCAAATATGCCGTATAAAATAGTTGTATAAACGTTTATGCAACAGTTCAAAATTTGTCCAATAAGGTGTTGTGTAACTATGCTATAGGAATATTTTAAACACCTCATTTTAGAGCAAATATGTTGCAGAAAGCAGATTTGCATTCCACACAACATTAAGCCAGCATTTTGGTGTTCAGGCAACAACAATAAAGAGCTTTTATGGCTGAACGGTTCTTTTACCAAAAGCTTATAGCACTACTTTGCTAGTTGGGTTATAACTACTTGGTGACGCAACAATTTGGTACAGTTTAATGCTTCCAGAGCGCACTACTGTATCTTGACTAGCAAGTAGCGCCCTAAGGCTCATCCAGTTCCGATGGATGGCCGATAGTTCTACCAAAGTGGCGTTCATTTCGGCTAGTTGGAGTTTAGATTACTGATGACTTGATCAGGCACAAACACACACAATTTGCTTAGGACAAAATAACCTCCTCATTCTGTACAAGCCTCGACTACTGCTCACATGTTTGGGGTGCTGCCACCCTAGCCACATTATCTATACTCGATGCTGTGCATAGGAGAGCTGTCCGACTGATCGATTACTTTTCTCTAACTGACAGTCTCGGGGCCCTTCCATACGGGCTGTCGGCGATCTAGCTCTCTTCTATCGCTATGTCAATGGGCTCTGCTCCTCAGAGCCTTCCTCCATGATGCCGCCGCACGATGTGCCGGCCAGACAGACCCGCCTGACTTTGACCTCTCATCCTAACCGTGTCGAACTTCGTACATCGACAACACTGGTCAACAAAATTTTAACTTTGTCGTGCCACACGGACTTTTTTGATATTTTTTACTTTAATTGGTGATTGTAAGAAAAAATAAACAGTAAAAAAAATTTGCTAGACAAGGATTTTATTCTATTGAGTAATTTAAAATATTAAGAATAAACACAGGTCTCGTAAATCAAAAGTTATTTTTTTTATAAATGACTTATAATCTATGATTTTCTTGAATATTTAGCTTCTGGTTGGTCCCTTTTAATTGTCCAGCAGTAATCTGCTAACATATTTGGGCTCCATTTGCCCTGGTACCGCTTTTCCATATTAGAAATGTCCTGATGGAACCTCTCACCGTGCTCATCGCTGACAGCCCCTAAATTGTCAGGAAAAAAATCCAGGTGCGAGTCTAAAAAATGGATCTTAAGTGACATGTTGCAACCCAATGCTTGATATGACAATAATAGCTCGCTAACCAACTCTCTGTAGCTGTCACTCTTGTGGTTACCCAAAAAATTTGAAACAACATTTTTAAAAGCCTTCCATGCAGATGTTTCTAAATCGCTTAACTTTTCTTCAAATCTTGAATCTTTTATTAACTCCCTAATTTGAGGGCCAACAAAAATACCCTCTTTTATCTTTGCATCACTTATTTTAGGGAATTTTTCTTTTAGATACAAAAATCCACTCCCATTGCGATCCATTGCCTTCACAAAATTTTTTATTAATCCTAATTTGATATGCAATGGTGGTAGAAGCACATTATTTGGCTGTACAAGGGGTAAATACTTTACGTTTTTTTGCCCAGGAACTAACGATGCACGCGTAGGCCATGTTTTTTTATATAGTGATTAGTTCTGTCTCGGCTATCCCATTCACATAAAAAGCAGCAAAACTTTGTATAACCCAGCTGAAGTCTAAGTAATAGTGCAACAACTTTAAGATCACCGCAGATTTTGAAGGAATATGTACGGTAATTTATTTTTTCAAGTAAAAGTTTCATATTTTCATAGGTTTCTTTCATATTTGCAGCATGGGCCAGAGGTACAGACGGAAGCTTATTTCCATTATGCAATAACACTGCTTTTAGACTTGCTTTCGAAGAATCAATGAATAAACGCCACTGAGAGAGATCAAAATCTATGTCCAACATTTTCATAATCTCATTTATGTTATTGCAAAACACCAAATCTCCATCCTGAGAAAAATACGTTCTGAAGTGTTGATCACGGTTTCGAAAATAGCTAACTTTTGTATTATGATTAAATTCCATTCTTTTAGACGTGATCCTAATAGTTCTGACTGCTTTTTTGACAAATTCAAATCCCAAACCAAATCATTTAGGTCTCCTTGAGTTATCAAATGTGGCTCGTTTACAATTCCTTTTAACTCAGTCATCGTCCTCGTCAACACATTCACCTGAAGTGGACGGTTGTGAATTGTTCTCAACAGACGTAGTTGCAACTGGTATTAGTTCTGGCAATTTTTTACAATGAGAGACTGGTCTTATAGCCGAAGATAAGTTAGGGTAAATAACTGTGGTTTTTTTCTTGTAATTTATACCTTTTATGTCTGTGAGACAAAAATAGCAATCTGAAACGTGATCTCGCTGTTCAGTCCATATCATGGGTACAGTAAACGGCATAGGTCGTGCACCTTTCTTCCAGTCAGTTAAATTTTTCACACACGTTATGCAACAGACATGAGGGGCCCAAGATTTGTCTTGATGGACGACAGAAAAACCAAAACATTGGTGATAACACTCCAACACAAGATTCGTAAAATTTCGTCGTTGTTTTTTGAATGTTAGTTCTCCGCAGACATAATAAAAAGTGTTAGGAGCATTATTACACTTCCTCGACATATTCACAGGGTTAATAAATCACAAAAAAGTGTTCAAATTCAACAACAAATATTTTCATAAGGATTTACTTGTAAGCGTTTCTGTTAATTTACTGCCGTAGTACTAGTTATGAGTATTACCGTATCACAACAAATATGAGGCTAATAGACATATGACAGCTGTCATGTAATAATGAGGGTAGACTGATAAAACAAAATTAGCTGTCAAAGTTCGTGTGGCAAAACCAGTGTTGACTAGTGCAATTGGCCGATATAACCGCTCCGTTGTCCCTAGGGTAGATTGTGCAATGATCTACTTGAGCATGCCATTAACCTTAGGGAGGTTCAAAAATCTGCGGTAAAAAAATACTTACCCCAATGGTGTTAACGACGGTCTTCTACTTCCACAAGTCGAAGGTGTCCTGGCCTGAATTTCCTGGTTCACCTCGCTTTTCGTCTGTTTTTTCCGCCAATAATTCTTTAATGTCTTTTTGAGGATTTTGCTTCTGACACCGTACAGAAAGGCATTTACAGGTACTGATGACACTAGAAGACTTGAGGCGATGGCGTACAGCGTTACCTGATCCTATATAAAATTATTTCTGTTTTAATTGAGTAGTCTGACAGAATCATTTTTATAGATACTACAGTACCAAACAAAAGAACGATATCAAAAATAGTGTTTCAAAACAATACTACATTTTGCTATGTGCTCTAAAGTCAATTTGACATAAGACAGCTCAAATTGCCATCTATTACCAGAATCGACCAGTACGAGAGCGAAAGCAGCATGCTGTCTGTTCCATTTAACAGCCGGGTCTTGACTGTGGCCGCTAGATGCCGTCGATTCTGGTGTTATAGTGAATGCGGTCTATCCGCCACTGAACAAGCTAGTGATATAGCTTTTGTTTGTCCGATTACAAACTGCCAACAACGGCTAGCTGTTTCGTGCTATTTGGAGACTCATCAGCATGGTCTACGCTTGGTCTCAGGTGGGACAACGAACGAAAGTCTGAGAGCAAGTCTAGACTATGCTGATGAGCATTATGTTCAGCACAACTTGGCCTTCCTGAGAAAAAAGTTAGCTACGAACAAAAAAATTAAATTGAGGTCAGTCAAGCAGGCTCATGCAATTAAAATTTGCATATTTAGTATGATTTTGTGCACCACTTTGGGGATTTTTAGCCATTTTGAGATTTTGCTGCCCCTGCTCTTCAAAAGTTTTGGAGGCAGGTAAGCTTTTACACAAAATTATCACTTGCAAATGTCTGACCTCTTCCACCCGAGAAAAATTCATGTCGGCGCACATGCTCGTTGCTATGACTAATCCCGCGTTGACGAAGATATTGGCTTTCGTAGCACACAGCCGACATTTTTAAGTTTTAAGCATAAAATTTATGTGGAAATCTACGTTGATTGAAACATTTCTAATGTTCGTCAGTCATTTTTGCTTGATTTTGTATCAGTTCCGATGAGAAACTTTGAAAAGTGTTTGTGTCTACACATTGCAGAAATTATTGCCAAGATACAGTTGAAATATGGTTGATATGATTGCGACGGGTCATCACATAGGCGCCATATAGGTCGATAGATGCCCTAAACCACAACCACTGAGAAAATGTGCACATTGTCGGCAAATAATGTATAATCTGCAAAGGTGTGGGGGTTTCATCTATCTATTACTATTCTGGGGCCTTACTGGGCCAAAAAGAAAGTATGGTATATCTGAAGTCACTTGAAATAGCATAAAAACCTTTGGTCGGCGCGTCCTTTGTAATTTCATGACGTATCATAGGCGTGCGGATTTACAGGAGGCAAAACACAATATTCATTTTCTTTTTCAATAATATGCCTAGAACACTGCTTCCATAGGTCTGTGGCAGCAATATGAGATACTGCATCTCTTATTGTGGCCAATAGCGATTCACTTAATTGAGGGGTCTGATTATGTTTTCTTACTTTTTTTTTAAAAGCAGCCCAGACCAACTCAATCGGGTTAAAAATGCAGTAATAGGGAGGTAGACGTAATACTTCATGGAAATTTTGCTGAAGCAGATTGTCAACAACATACTCTTTTTCAAATTTTTGTCTTTTAATAAGATCCAATAATATGGCTTTGGTTGATTTTTGTGGTATTTCCATTCCCTTATCCTTCATAAAATCAATAATGTCTTGTTTTTTTGTGCCTGTATTCGGAATTTTGTTTTTCTGTCGAGAATGGTATGGCGCATTATCCATAATAATCACTGAATTTGGGGAAATGTTTGGTATTAACTGCTGCTCTATCCACTTTTCAAATAAGTCGGAGGTCATGTCCTCATGATAGTCGGCACATGATTCTTTGATATTTTTGGCAGATAACAGCAAGGCATTAGGCATAAATCCATTTTCACTGCCAGCATGGAGAATAATGATTCGTTTTCCACGGTTGCATGGTGCATTTAAAATGCACTTGTTGCTGTCGTCAACCCAGCCGTACTGCACAACATCATGGGTATCATACCACGTTTCATCCAGGTAAATCAGATTTCTTTTCTTCTCTCTATAGATTTTAACTTTGCGCAATTCAACGATTCGAGACGACTCCATAATCACCATTCTTTTATCTAATTTTTTGTATTGAAAACCACACAGTTTTACAATACAGTGCAGTGAGTCTAAGCATTTGTAATTATAAAAATCTTCAGGATAATCTTTTAATTTATCCCGTATCATTTCCAACATGGGCACCAAATTTTCTTTATAAAATCCGTATATTATACGACAAATATCTTTCTGATGAAACCCACGTCTATTCTTTTTAATTTTTGCCCTATGCGCTTTCTGTGGAAGGAATGGTTGACTACATCTCCCCTTTTTATAACCCGATAAATGGTAGACCGACTGATTTTTGTCAGGATACAAATTCTGTTTAAAATTTGATTTTGCGAGGAATCTGGATTTTCGTTTTTCAGACAATCATACATATTTAGGATTACTCTTTGGGTCTGTTCCTCTAAATCTTTATGAAAGAATTCTGCCTGCACAGGTTCATCAACCATCTCCTCGTGGCTTGGAGCATTTTCCCAAGGTCTCCAAAGAACCATATTTAGGACACACAAGAACAATCAACACAACAATTAAATCAACAAGTAAACTGAGTATTTAAAAGTCAAAAACACACAAACTAATAAAATCTATGAAAAACACGGACAGACTAAAGAAAACACGTTTATTCACCGCTACACGGCATTGGCTAAACTGTTTCAATTTTCAGTAGCCACCTGCACTTGTTCCGAGCTCTGAAATACACGCTTTCTCATTGGCTATGTCCACGCATAGGCGTGCTTTATTCCACGTGGACCGGTGAAACTGCCTTTGATCTTATACGGGGGATATTTGCTGCGAAATTTGGCGATTTTTGCAGCAACAGAGCGTGGTAAATATAGATATATAAAACGCACCCGGTATTTCACAGTGTTTCAAGTGACTTCAGATAAAGTATACCTACTTTATTTTATTGTACTTTTATTTGCGCGGCGTTTTGTAGTGATGAGCCAACACTGATGGCACCGGACTTGGAGGGGGGGACAGGGGAACATGTGGTCTGCCGTCAGTACAAGTTTGAACTGGCTTTAGGAGGAAGTTATCTTGAAAGTAAGAATATAAAATTGTAATTATATCACCTAACTTACAGACCTCGTATTCATGATGACCGGACTTTACTTGCCATAGTTATGGCCAAATATTGCAATAAAATATTGGGTCCATAAGAGGAAGGAAAAGGTACCTACTTTTCTGTTGTTGAGAGCGCCTAACGTCGCATCCCACATAATGGTAGTATAATAAGGTACGTAGAGTATAAGGAAAGAAGCAACGAGCTGGAACACAGTATAGATGGCGCTGCGACTCTTGAATTTGGGTCCCCCAGAACTGGGCGCCGTCACAGTCGGTACGAAGAATGGGTTTCGTTGGTGGGTGATGGTCACCTGTGCTGACAGCGTCACTTCGTAGATCGCAGATGCTATCCTGTGCCGATGGTACCGAGCTATCATGAGGATCTGGAAGCATCAAATAGATGGACTCGGTGTCCGTCAAAAAGTCTCAATGTAAACGGAAAATAGCTTTGTGAGCAAACTGAAAACGATATCAAAAATATGTTTTAGTGGCAACCTTGATAAGTTACTAGTACATCTAGTGTTATAGCATACATGTATTTTTTTGAACAGAATACCCTATATTTTATTGCATTTTTGGATAGAGCTTCTGAAAACAAGAAGTTTCATATCATATAACATATAATGGGTGATTTTTTTGCTAGTATCTTTTTGGCAACACTGTTTTTGACAGATGACGCGAGAATCGTGACTTGTGTCATTGTCAAACTTGTTCAGTTGGTCTATAATTTAACCATGAATCGACTTATGAACGAACAACGCTTGCAAATTATTGAATTTTACTATCAAAATTCATGCTCGGTTAAGAGAGTGCATCGAGCACTGCTTCCAGCTTGTGACTAAATTTCGAACCCAGTTTACATTATTGGACATTAAACCACCAACACGCAGACGTAGAGTGAGGACTGAAGAAAATATTGCGGCTGTATCCACCAGTGTTAGTGATGACCGTGAAATGTCGATTCGCCGCCGTTCGCAGCAATTGGGCCTCTGTTACTCCACCACGTGGAAAATTTTGAGACAGGATTTGGGTGTAGAACCTTATAAGATACAGCTGGTGCAAGAATTGAAGCCACACGACCTCCCACAACGTTTCCAATTTGGTGAATGGGCGCTGGCAAAGTTGGAGGAAGATCCACATTTTTATCGAAAAATTGTGGGGGTACGTTAACAAGCAAAATTGCCGCATCTGGAGTGAAGACCAGCCAGAAGCATTGCAAGAACTACCAATGCATCCCAAAAAAATCACTGTTTGGTGTGGATTATGGGCCGGTGGCATCATCGGGCCGTACTTCTTTAAAGACGACAATGGCCGGAACGTAACTGTGAATGGCGAGCGCTACCGTGCGATGATAACAAACTTTTTTTGCCTAAAATGGAAGAGCTGGACTTGGCTGACGTGGTTTCAATAAGACGGTGCCACATGCCACACCGCACACGACACAATGGCCCTATTGAGAGGCGAGTTCGGTGAACAGTTTATCTCACGTTTGGGGCCCGTCAATTGGCCGCCTAGATCGTGTGATTTAACGCCGTTGGACTATTTCTTGTGGGGCCTAATGTCTACAGTGATAAACCAGCAACGATTGACGCACTGGAAGCCAATATTGAAGCATTTATTCGTGAGATACCGGCCGATATGTTGGAGAGAGTGTGCCAAAATTGGACCTTGCGCATGGGCCATCTAAAGCGGAGCCGCGGCCAACATTTACATGAAATAATCTTTAAACATTAAATTATATCGACCGTTCTATCGACTCAAATAAAGTTTAATCGTTTTTTCAAATTCTTTGTGTTTATTTTTTGAAAATCAAATCCTATACCTCTTAAAAAATCACCCGTTAGTTTAGATTGAAAATTGTATAAATATTTAGCGAAATGTCTGAAAAAATGCCTAACTCAGCTCTGCCATTTTTGAAGATATCTTGATAAATTTTAGATCACAAAACTTTTTTATCATCGATTTTGAGCTAATCTGGAAAAAATGCAAAAATATCTTTCCATTTATGCAGAATATCTCAAAACACAAAATGTAATTTTTTCTCCTTAACTTCAAATGTATATTTCTACATCATTAAATAGATTTCCTTGGGAACTTTTTTTCTGATACAAGTATAAGGTTTATACAATTTTCTTTACAGACTCTTTCTCATGATATGACCTTCAAATGACCTTGGATCTCATGTCATTGAGTTCAGTGACACAAAAAACCTTGGGATACCCTTATGGGATCCTGCTAAATCTATGCAATCAACTGTTTCGCTCTTATCAAATTTCAAAATCTTTCGCTCATTCTGAACAAAAGGGTCGTCACTAAGGATTAATGGTAATAAAGAGTTTTAATTGGAAAATACGAGTTTATTACGAGAGAGGTTGCAAAAATCCGGTTCCGAACTCTGTAGCTTTACCGCGCGTGATGCTAGGCGAAATCTGGCAACAACGTGGCGTAGAAATAATGGCGAGTATGTAGAAAAATAGCACAAAGATAAACGTTTCCAACGGTAAATTCGATTTTTCAAATAAAAAATTCCTTGTGCCTGAAAAAAGGTTGGAAACTTATTTTTGGGACAACCCTCGTAGATGTTCAAAAATAATTGACGCAATATTGAACTTGCGGTAAATGCTCGCAGATTCTAGATACACTTAAAGCTTTGATGGCAATGTCTTGAGGCAGAAATAAAAAATATTTCTTTTATCTATCATTACTCCAAGTGCAATCAAAATATATTCGCGTCATTTAACATCCTTCCAGCACGGCCCTTTGTTTCAGACGGGTCGTTACGTGAAATTTACGGTTTCCGTAACATAAAGCTTTTTAAAACATGGGCTTTCACGGTTTAAGAGATCATAGGCTGATTCTGGTTTTGCTTGTTATGCGTTGGGTTTTGAGTGCTGCCATTAATGGGTAATCCCATATCTGAGGCTCGGATTTGAAAAAAGTATAAAAAAGGAATAATCGTTAAAAACTCGCTGAAATTTGTGTAGAGCCAAGCGAATAGACTCATTCATTCTACTTGTGCCTGTTAACAACATTTGATACCTAGGACAACATCGAAACATGCAACATGTCAGAGGCACATTTTACATACGGAAAAGGACCAGTTGAAACTTCAGCGTTAGGTCGTATCTACTTATATTTTAAAAAAAATTAGGAAATTTATTTCGCGTTAAAAATAATAATCTCACATTTTCTAGTTTTAGTGCTACGAGATTTTGTTTGAAGCCCTAAAAAAATCTATGAATATCAAATTAAGTAACTTCCAAATCTTTTTCGGAACAATATAGTGATTATGAAATAACGCATAATTTTGAAATTACAATTTACACATTATGCTAAACTAGCTATTTGCGTTTACCCAAAGAATACAAAGTTACCAGCAGAAGGGAAACCCACAAAAAAGACTTTGGTCTTCATTTTCCGATCCTTTCTTTAGGTGTCTCTCTGGAAGTTGTCCCGTACTTTTTTATTACTTACTTCACATAGGGTTCTACTTTGGCACGGAATAAGATGTCATAAAGATGTCATGGCATCGAGTAATTATATTTGTACAGGGTGATTCATGTCATTATTGTTTTTATGGTATGGACATGGATAAAAAATTGCGAAAAACAAACGTTTTTTAAATTATCTACAAATGATATGGTATGAATGCCACTGCAGGAGTGTACCATTCACAACTTTCCTAAACAAATCTATAGATCATACTACGAGCCCCTTCCCACTTCAGTTGGCCCACTTCAAGATTTGTACCAAAACACTAAACATGACGAAAACATTTACTTCTAAAACAATTTATTTTCTCAGAAACATATTTGAAATCACTTAGACCTATAACTAATAGAACATCTGAACAAATAAACAATGTGCGACTAAATGCCCGAAGTTTACAAAGCAACATTTGAAAGATTACCATTGGGTAACATCACCTTTATTTTTTATTACGGCTGAAATTCTTTGGGGCATAGTGTTAACCAAGTTTTGGCAAAAATTTGGTGTAAAACAATCGCATATTTCTTGAAGCTTTTGCCTCAGTTCGGTGATTGTACGAGCAGGATGTTGTAGTAGAACCTTTTTCATCTCGTGCCACAAAGTTTCAATAGGTGACAGATCTGGACTGCTAGAAACCCATTTTGAGGTATGGCACGCTGCACCATCTTGCTGAAACACAAAATCTTGGCCGGATGTCAAACATTCTTCCATCACTGGTAAAAGCGATTCTTCTAAAATTGCCAATTATTTGTTTGTATCCACATTTCCATCAATAAAATGAAGTTTTCCTACTCCTTTTGATGACATACTGCCTCTGACCATAATGGATGCTGGAAATTTCACTTTTCTCTTCAGACAGTCAACATGGAATGCTTCACTTATTTTGCGAATAACTCTACTGCGACTGTCACTAACACAAACTTCGAATCGGGCCTCATCACTCCATTGTATTGCACACCATTGTTGAGGTGTCCATTGTCTATGTGCTTTAGCCCATCTAAGCCGATTTTTCTTTTGCAGTGGTGTTAATAGTGGCTTTTCTTTGGCCTATAAACAAGTTGTGCAACTTTAGGGTTTTTACTTCACTTTTTTTTATAAGAAAACTCACCTTGCAAGTGCTAAGTCCCAGTTTGTGGGCCTCTCTATGAGTTGTGGACCTCGAAATTCTCCTTCCAACAGGGTCACTCCACAGAGCACTTAATTGTAAATAATTGGCACGCCTGTTTTTCACGATTATTCTTCTTAATGCTCTTCGGTCGGCATTTGTGAGATTACTTTCTTTCACATATCGTGGCTTAATATTAACTGAACCAGTTACGTTATATCTTCTAACAATATTTCTCACACTGAATCGCGATAAGTCTAACAATGTTGCAATTTCTGAGTTGATTTCCCAGAATTAAAAAATTCAATTATCAGTAACCGAATTTTCTCACTAATAACCTTTCCTCTACCCATTTTTAAAACCTTAACTACCCAAAACTATTTTAAACGTATTCTGACAGCTGTGATTAATAAAAACAATTGTCATGGCTTTTATTTTTCACAGCCGCCTATGCGTTATAGACTTATTTTAAAATGAAATATGTTGATATGCTGTAATTGCAACATGTGTTATTTTTATGCTGCAAATTTGATTAGGAAGTGATAAAGTTGTTTTCTACTCTATATTATCAAAATATTCATTGTTAATATTTTAAGCCTATAAAACCCTGCTACATTTTTATTATTTGTGTTTGATAAGAAAAAACTAAGATTTCAATATTTGGGCCAACTGAAGTGGGAAGGGGCTCGTAGTAATACAGATTTCATCGTTGACAACTCTTCAGGTGTAGGCTTAGTCTCAGGTACAGAGTGCCATCTGTTACAAGAAGCGACCACTGCGAATATTTTG